CTCAGAAAAAAATTCGTCGAAATACTCACAAAAATGGGAAAAATATGACCGAAAACATGTGCCTTAAACGGAGGATTATTACCATGAAACGACAATTCGAGTTACGATCTTGGAACAGAAAAATGCGAAACATTTTTTTAGACGGATACCCAGGAACATTCAGAAATTCAGTTTACAGCGTTCTTTTTTCAGCCGTCATCCACCAGTCAGCGCCTCTTCGACTGTCATTTAGCCGTTTTTCACCAACTGCGCCTCAGACTCTAATTTTCGTAGAAATGTTTCTAATAACACAATTTATAGATTACCAGATCGTTCTATGGCTCTTACTATGTTTTAAGAGAGAAATCTTTTTTCAACAAAATTTTCCAATCTGCTGAAATTTGGCCTGCCAACCACCGGTCATTGACCATTCAGCGCCTCTTCGACTGTCATTCAGCAGTCGTTCAACAACCTATTTTTTTGAAGTGGTCCTATTTGAGGAAAATAAGATTCTATAGTTTCCTATAATCTAGTGGGAGTATGAGAAATTGTTTTCTGAATGATTTCCAATCAAAACCTTCAAGTCTGTTTTCCAACAGGTTCCGACTGTCCGTCGACGGTCCGTCGACGGCCCGTCAGTTCTCCTTCGGCTGCCAACTAGCAGTCATTCGCCAGTTTGCGCCTCTTCAGCTGTCATTTAGCAGTTTTTCAGCAGTCCCCCTCTACCTGTGTCGAGTACCCACTGTGTACTGTTTACTTTTTTTCTTTTTTTCTGACTAATTAGTACAACCGGACCATGTATTCTTCTTTTATTTAACCTCTCCTCTATCTTCCCAGAATCTCTCTTCTGTCAGAATACAATAAGTGTGATTGACAAGGGTCATTTCCCTGAGAAGGCATCTAGATAAGGTTTACGGTCCTTTCTTTCCCTCTTTTTTGGTCCTTGTAGGTCCACAAAACACTTTATTCAATTTTTTTGTAAAAATGAACAGTTTGGAAGATTTGGCATTTAAAAAAATTTCAGAATGTATCACTAATGGTAAGTTTGTAGTTTTTTTTAAAGGTGGTGTACGGTGAAATTTTTTATTGCATCAAAATGTGCAGAAATGCATGTAGATTGACATAAAAATAAAGAAAAAATTCAAAAAAAAATTTTTCATCGAGAAAAACGCATCGAAAAATACGCTGAAAGCCCTTAGGGACGAGGTTTTTTCTAGGCCGCCCGGTGAGTAAAAGCGCGCGAATTCAAACTTTTAAAATTTTTTCGCTCGTTTTCACTTTTTTCGGTTTT